AAAAAAAAAAAAAAAATGTTAATCATACATTATAAAAATAGGAAGCTGAGAGTAGACGGCAAACTTTTTTGGGCGTACCTCTCGTGAGCGCTTTCCAGGTAGTTTTGTAGCATTTGATCGACAAATTTGTGCCTTTTGCTTCTAATTCTAACGCAGAGTAACGTATCGCCGTAACCTCCCGAATTGGAGGCCGTGTGGCTCTTTGGTCTTTTGGCCATTGACCAGAACTTTTTACTGACCGATTTGCCAATCGATCCAAATTGTTTGGCTACGCCCATCAGCTGCTTTGCCGTCTTACTTCGCGTAGCATCTGACTCCGATAACCTGTCCATCTCATCTGGCATGAATACCTGATACTCGCACTGGAGGTATTTTTTTATGAGAACTTCCATCTAAAAGTTTAAGCTTTTCTTTACTCGCTGCTGTAGATTGTTTCCTAGGATTTATTTTTCGAATGGCTGGGAAGGCGAATAAGTTTTTCAATATCGATTGTTTAGCTAGACGCTTTTTCGATTCGAATGAATTTCACTAAAAATGCAGGTCGCTAAAAGATTCTAAATTAACTTAACATAAAAAAGGATTTTGAAAAACAAATGTTAAACGTCATTGACGCGGTTTTTACAGTTACGCATCAAAAATTTAAAAATCTGGATTCTCTGTAATATATATTCTTAATATTTTAAGTTACCCATTAAGAAACTTTTTTACACTTCAGGTGCGACTTTTTTCACTAAAAAAGTAAAAAAACTACTTTTTAGCACATTTGCGGATTTCTTTTGTCAGTTTTTCATACACCGGTTTTCTTGAAAGTACATGAGATTTGTTTTCGCGACTTCTTTCTTAATTCAGCTAAATCACTAACAGATTTGAATTCAGCTAAATCACTAACTACCAATAAAAATTTACATAAAGTATTTTGGAAGCTGCAAGAGTAAGCTGTAAGACATCTACGCCCGCGATCTTTGTGTCCTTATGTATTATGGTGAATATATAAAGTTCACAGTTCAGAGTTTAAATCCCTATATACGCCAATTTTTAAATAAATCAAAGAAAAAGTTTAATCCAATAATTGAATTGCAGTTTATCAAAACAGAAAACAAAAGGGATTTACGAATAAGCAGATCATAAGATCAAATTATAATTACAGAAAGTATGCTTACATGAAAAAAAAATTATAAGGAAATTTTAAAATAATAGAGACATTTTTACGAATACGTACCAAGTTTTATTTATGCCATATAGAACCAAAAATAGAAAAATATTTTCGAGAAAATTTAAAACTTATAATCAAAGAAAGAAGAGAAGCAAATCAGATCCAAAAAGATTTTCTTCAATTTTGTTTACAGATAAATTCTGAAGATTTTGATAGTACCATCTCGGATGTACTGATATTTTACGCGGGCCTTTATGAAACATCGAGTACAGTTTTAGCCATTTTGTTTTATCATCTTTCACAAAATCAGGAAGTACAAAGAAAACTTCGCTCCCATATTGTTTCTATAATTCAAGCTAACAAAGGACACATCACTTTTGAATCTTTGAAAAGTATGAATTATCTTGATCAGGTGATATCAGAGTCGTTACGATTATTGCCACCAGCATTTGCATTTAGAAAAGAATGTACCAAAGAAACGACTCTCACGGGATCCGATGGCCTACAGTGTCACGTTCGTCCTGGCACTGTTATTATGATACCACTAATGGGATTGCAAAATGACAGTAAATATTGGGATAAGCCTCACGTTTTTGATCCTGACAGATTTAATCCCGAAAATCATGCGAATCACCGCGAAGGAGCCTATTTGCCGTTTGGTGATGGACCCAGAAAGTGTGTGGGTATAAGACTGGCACTTATGTTGGTGAAACTTGCAGTAGCCACATTGTTAAAAAATTTTTCGATACAAAGTTCCACAAAAATGAAGGCACCACTTGAAATGGAAGCTTTTTTCGCGATAACTCACATTAAAGGAGGTTTTTGGGGAAAATTCGAGAAACTCTAACGGTTGACTTATTACATGAATAGAAAAATCAAAAATAATTTTATCCACTTTTGAATGATGCGTTGCTTAAACACAGTATAAAGTAAGAGTGACTTGGAATTATTACATTATGGATATGCCTGACTATTGATGCAATTATAATAAATATTAATTAGTCATTACATAACATGCATATTATCACAGTTCTTCATAAAATGTAAATTATTTTAAATGTATTAACACTTTATTTAACAGATGAATTAAATCAGTAGAAATCAAAGTCTCAGTTGCTTTTTACAATGTCTTTTTTACACAAAAAAATTTTTGTGTGTACAGATAATCATTACATTCATCGGTTCTACAAATGTCTAGGAATATCCTAAGAAAATAATTTAAATGTCCAAAACAAGTTTTTCTATCTAGAAACAACGTAAAAATGATACAAAAATTTATTCTTTGTAAAACTAGTGGTAAAGCAAAGCAATTTCTTATATAAAAAAGATTCATGTCAATAAAAAATTATCGTAACTTGTTAATATATATGTTTATTATGTTCAACATCAAAACAACCCTTTACATCCATGAGTATCAACATAATCTATACTAAAAGCATGCCATGAGATCAACTGATTAGTCCGAGGTACACCATTTTTCTTGCGTTTACTATAAAACAATATTTGAATAAATTGTATTCATCTGGATTTTCATACAATCTGGTAGACATATTTCTTTTTTTAACCTGAATATTCCAGATAGTGTAAAAATGCTAACATAAACTTATCTTAATTCACAAACAACTGCAAATTTACCTGAAATTTTTGTTTGTTTTCTTATTTTGTTTTTTTAATTATTGTACGTTAGTTTTTCTGTGATGCATAAACAATTATTCGTGCTTCTGCAAGAGGAAGAGGTGCCATTATTCCACGTTATCATATTTGTATTCCAACATGTGACTATGGTTGTAAATTCATATGTTAATTAATATTCATTAAGTTTTTGTTTGAAGATTTTCTTAGTTCAAAAGTGTAATTACAAGTTAATGTTTAGTATTTTTTATCGGTGAAGTAATTAAAAAATTAAATGTTACACATTATAATGGTCAAAATAGAGTCACTATTTTTATAATAAAATACCCAAAAAGGGGGAGAGGTCAAGTATTTTTGAAAAAACTTTTTAAAAATTGTCTTTAAAAAATATAGAAAAATACTCTAAAAAACATTAAAAAAAAATTTTTTTAATTCAGAAAAAAGCTTAAAAGAGCTAGAAATTTTTGATTTTGATGTTAATCAATTCATTGGGAGTCAAGAGATAAGCAATAAGAAATTATTACTACATTATCAAGCAGAATGCAACCCTCCAACAAAATTTTGATTACGTTTAGGCTTTGAGCAAATACTTGCAAAACTTTGCCTTCGAGAACATTTTGGCCACAACCAGTTAATCTGTATGTGACTACGAATATCTAGTCATGGTCATGATAAGTGTGAAATTACAAAACTACGACTTTGCATTTTTCTCTTCAAATGCTTCAACGTGTTAAATAACACATTTTTTATCGTAGAATTTATTCACTTTACTCTTTTTTCTCTTTCTCGTTATATCACACAATTTTATTTTTCGTTCAAATCGGCAAAAAGTTACGTGGACGCCCAAGTAAACTGCTAAATCAACGCCGTGATTTCAATCGTCCAAAACAATAGTCTTTGATGAAATAATATCTCTAAATTTGTTTATGAATTTTCAAAACACGTACTATTCCTTAAAAGTCATCCACAAGCAACAGAAAGAGGAAAAGCCAGAGAGCATCGACCCGATATCCCATGAATTTCGATATCCCAGCCAAAGTATTTCGTCGTCATTCCCCATCCCTTCTTATATCCCCTACCAGTACATTCCCTCTTAATCATGCATCAGATAGCAGTCTCTTACCATACGCTCGCTTCAGAGCTTGCCTATACAGCAATATACGTATGCAAGTGATAGGATCGAGAGATACCCTATAGGGATACTTCGTAGACAAGCGTAGGAAAAGCGGCAAGTTGATGTAGGGGTGGAAGGGGCAGCTACGCACTTGTATAATATACATTAGGGAAAAGGCTGATTGTAATTTCACACATGACGAAACGCGGGCTTCCCTGGCCCTGCCCCTCCTCTCTTTTCCACCCGGGCACTCCTCCTTCTCCTCCTCCCTTTCTTTCGGCTTAGTCTCGATCGCATGCACATGCAGAGTCCATCTGGAGGTAAGGGAGTTGTAGATACAGAGAGAGGGTGAAAGAAGCCCTTTTCTAGCCCATCTCTCGCTACCCCCTTTGTTTCTCCGTTTTACATGCCGGCGTCTCGCATTTCTCAGCTCTCCATCTATTGGGATTTGGTCTTTTGTCCATCTAGT